CCACTGTGCTAGAAGTGTGTATGTATGTGTGAATGAAATAGATGTTATTTCCTTTTACAGTGGGAGGATGAATTACTGATATCAATATCCAGAAAAAGTAAGTGGTAAAAGTGATATTGGTATCTTAATTCTTTTAACTAGATTCTTGCCCATATTTGAAGACAAAGAAATGGAAATAAGGTAGTTCTGGCCTGCTCATTAGGGTGCCAGGTCATTTATTTAGGGGCCAGGAAGGGAATAGTTTGTTGAAAGATTATAAAATTCTAATTCTTGGCCAGGAATCCCTATATGCCCAACCATACCTTAATATTTTTAGAAATATCAGTTTTTCCACATTAGTAGGCAAGATTTTGCCAATGTTTTCTTTCTTATATTACCAAAACTTTTGTTTTCAAAATATAAAATTATACTAAAACACTGAGTACCCAATTTTATTTAATTTTTACTTTTTTAGAGTGAATTCAACCTTCCTCCTCCTGTTTCCCCCTTTTTTGAACATATTGGGGTTACATTGGTTAACAAAATTATACAGGTTTGGGAGAGGCCAAAGAATATCACAATTCCACAATACATCATCTGTACACTGTGTTATGGTTCAGCACCCTGAGTACTCATTTTAAAAATACATATCCATACCCCAATCTCTTAAGAAATCAGTTCTGGCCCGGAGGGTGTGGTTCAGTGATTGAGTGTCGACCTATGGACCAGATGGTCACGGTTTGATTCCTGATCAAGGCACAGGCCCAAGTTGCGGGCTCGATCCCCAGGGTGGGGTGTGCAGAAGGCAGCTGATCAATGATTCTCTCTCACCACTGATGTCTTTATCTCTCTCTCCTTCTCCTTTCCTCTCTAAAATCAATAAAAATACATAAAGAAAAAGAAATCAGTTCGGTTATTTATATCTCCATTAATATTTGGAAACCTCCCTCTGAAAATGCCATTCAAATACCCAAGTACTGTCCTTCCATGATGGACAACATATCAAAAGAAAAAGCATAATTTTGTTGGAATTAAAAAGGAGCAACAGAGAAGCAAAATTCATTGTGGTGCTAAGAGGAAAAATGGCACACTAAACAGGAGAAGGTCTAATTTAAAAACAACAACAACACACAAACTTATAATAAAAATATAAGTTGCCCTAACTGGTGTGGATTAGTTGGTTAAGTGTTGACCCATGCATCAAAAGGTCGCTGGTTCACCCTAACCAGTTTGGCTCGGTGGATAGAGCGTCAGCCTGAGGACTCAGGGGTCCCGGGTTCGATTCCGGTCAAGGGCATGTACCTTGGTTGCGGGCACATCCCCAGTGGGGGGTGTGCAGGAGGCAGCTGATCGATGTTTCTCTCTCATCGATGTTTCTAGCTCTCTATCCCTCTCCCTTCCTCTCTGTAAAAAATCAATAAAATATATTTTAAAAAACAAAAGGTCGCTGGTTCGATTCCCAGTCAGGGCACATGCCCAAGTTGTAGGTTCAATCCCCAGTCAGGGTTTGTGAAACCTCAGTTGGGGTGTGTGTGGGAGGCAAATGATCAATGTTTCTCACATTGATGTTTCTCTCTCTTTCTTCCTCTCTCCCTTCCTCTCTAAAATCAATAAAAATATATTTTTTTAAAGAAAGATAAGTCAAAGGAAGCAAGGCTATATAAAGTCAAGAAGAAATTTAAAAAGCCATGGAATTTTATAATTAGACAATAACTATTGATCTTTTCCAATGCATAGAAACCAGATTACAATTAAGTTAGTAAGCAAAAGCACAAAGTGAAAATCCAATGAGGTATGACAGTGAAGTATAGCAGAGTAGCAACTTAAGTATGAGTCAATCCAGAGAAAGTATTTAAAAATGAAAAAGATCTATATTTCATGAAAGAGTCAATGAGGACTGGCTGAATAACCAGGCAAGGGAGAAAATAACAAATAAAATGCAAAGGCTGGAAGAGACGGAATGCACTGTGTAGACTAAGGTATTGGTCTCACAAAGAGTAGGACCTCTTCCACTCTCAGATTAGAAAGACTAGGAGAGAGTCAGATAATCTTAGAAGTGACAAGAATGGAAGTTCACATCCAGTAGTTTTTATGTTTACAGTGCTTCCAATAGACTCATTATCCTATCTAATAAAAGAGAAACATGCAAATTGACCATACCCCCGAACGCTTCCCATTGGCTAATCAGCAGGATATGCAAATTAACTGCCAACCAAGATAGCGGCCGGCAGCCAGGCAGCTGAAGCGAACAGGAGGCTTGCTTGCTCCAGTGATGGAGGAAGCCAAGGTTCCCCGCCTGCCACCGCCCAGCTCTGAGCTCCGGATGCAACAATGTTGCAATTATAGAAGCTAAACAAGCTCCAGAAACCTGCTTTCAGCCGGCAGCGGGCTCAGAGCTTAGAGCGGCAGTGATGGCAACAGAGTTTCAATTATAGAAGGTAAACAAAGCCCAGATATCTGCTTTCAGCAACCGAGGCCTCAAGCTGGAGCCGGCCTCAGAGCTAAAGCTGGCTCTCAGCTCCAGTGACAGCCATAGAAAGTAAATAAATCCCAGAATAAAAAAGAAAAAAAGGAGAGGCTGGGAGCTTCAGTCACCCGCCAGCCTGAAAATGTCCCTCAGCCCCTCATCCAGACTGGCCAGGCACCCCAGTGGGGACCCCCACCCTAAAGGGGGTGTGGGCAGCCTAAAAACAGCAATCAGCCCGTCATCCAGGCTGGCCAGGCACCCAAGCAGGACCCCCACCCTGATCCGGGACATCCTTCAGGGCAAACCAGCCGGCCCCCACCAGTGCACCAGGCCTCTATCCTATACTACAGGCAGGGCGGGACAGCGAGAGCTGCCATCCGAGCCCCATGTGCAGCCAAGGGCAGCGGGGCATAAGCCCCGCCCCCAGCCGGGACCCCTATGTGCCACCTGAGCCCCCAGCCAGGACCCCCGTGCCGCCTAAGCCCCGCACTGCTAAGCCCCGCCCCCAGCCGGGACCCTATGACTATTGGAGAGCAGGAAAGTGCCGCTGGGCCCTGGGTCGCTGTGGTGATCTGGCCACGATAAATAGAAAAAGTGCCGCCTGTTGGCAGCCCCCCGCTGTGCTCTGATCAGGGAGCAGGAAAGCCCGGCCTGCGGGCAGCCCCAAGCTGCGCCTGATCCGGGAGCAGGAAAGCCCGGCCTGTGGGCAGCCCCAAGCTGGGCCTGATCCAGGAGCAGGAAAGCCTGGCCTGCGGGCAGCCCCCAGCTGGGCCTGCTCCCCTGTCGCCATGGAGATCCTGGAGCAGGAAAGCCCGGCTTGCAATCAGCACCCCCATCCTGGTCATAGCTCAAGGGAGAGTACAACATGCAGTGGAGGCCAGGAGCCTGAGAGATCAACACAGAGGGGCTCCTGCTCCAAGCTTCCATGGTGTGGCTGCAGGCAGCCCCCCAGCAGACACACACACACAATGCCTGCTCTGAGCCTCCAATGTGGCTGGGGGCAGACCCCCAGTGGGGACACACACACACACACACACACACACACACGGCAACTGCTTCGAGCCTACGTGGCGCGGCTGGGGGCAGGCCCCAGCAGACACACGCACGCACACACACACACACACACACACACACACACATACACACACACACGGGATGCCTGCTCTGAGCCTCTGCTGCCAGACTGTGGCCATCAGTAGGACATCAACTGAGGGCTCCCGGACTGTGAGAGGGGCAGGCTGGGCTGAGGGAACCCCCACCCCCCAGTGCACGAATTTTGTGCACTGGGCCTCTAGTCTATAATAATAAAAGTGTAATATGCTAATTAGACCGGACGTCCTTCCTTCCAGACAAAGCCACAGCAGGTAGGGGCCGAGGCAGAGGGGACAGAGGCCCCCGGCCGCGGACGGGTGGGCCGGCAGGGGCTGGGACCAAGGCCCTTGCACGAATTTCGTGCATCGGGCCTCTAGTCCGATATAATAAAACCCTAATATGCAAATCGACCAAACAGCCGAACCGGCCGCTATGATGCACACTGACCACCAGGGGGCAGATGCTCAATGCAGGAGCTGCCCCCCTGGTGGTCAGTGCGCTCCCACAGGGGGAGTGCCACTCAGCCAGAAGCCAGGCTCATAGCTGGCAAGTGCAGTGGCGGTGGCAGAGGCCTCTCCCGCCTCCACTGCAGGAGGGTGGTAAGGAGTGAGGGGCCCCGGACTGCAAGAGGGATGTCTGACTATCAGCTTAGGCCCGCGTCAGACATCCCCCAAGGGCTCCCATACTGCGAGAGGGCACAGGTTGGACGGGCTGAGGGACCCTCCCCCGCCCCTGCATGAAATTCCGTGCATCGGGCCTCTAGTTTCACTATAACATGCAGAATGAAGCTCAAATTGGAAACATAACCAAGCTGCTCTTTACACATAACACATAAAGAGGTTCCATTCCAATGCAATGTTTTAGAACAGCAAAGCAATCTGGAAGAAAACACAAACAAACACATTTTCTGGCAGGTAGCCTTAAAAGCATAGGCTCTAAGAGTCAGAATGTTGGTGACCATATCTTAGCTCCATCATTTATTAGCTGGATGACTTTAGGCAAATTACTTAATTTCTCTATGATTCTATTTGGTCACCTGGAAAATAAGAATAGTTGTGAGATTAAATGAAAAAATCTATAAGAACTTAGGGGAAAACGAAGCACACAGAAGCTCACTAGATGTTACAAGCTGTTAGTGGAATTCTTAAAAGAGGTTCCAATAGTTCATAAATATGATGGTGTTAAATTATACACATTTCCTACTTTGGGGGACAGAAATGTGAGAAGCAGAAGTACAAATCTTATTATAGAAACTGATGATGTTTCTTTTCTATTCTAAATCTTCAGAGGAAAATTGCTTCAATTCAGCAATATCTCCAATTCACCTAACAATTATTTGAACTATAAAGGGCTGACCAAGCATATTTCTCCCAATGTATGACACACTAACAGGCTATGTACTTTTTATCTTATAAGACAAATATAAATTATTTCACATTTTTAAAAGGCTGTGAAGACTTACAATCCAGTTGCTTAACACAGAAAGTGGACAGATGATCAGTGTTGTTGTTGGTCTCCCTACATCAGTTTTCTTTGAACCCTCCAATGCAGATGCTCCTGAAAGAATAAATCAGTGGCACTAACATTAAGTGTTTTCCCCCCCCAACAAATATATAGTCAATAAAGAAATGACAATAATGTGCCTCTATGAAAAAAGACATTAGGAAGAACTAAAATGAAGCAGATGGACTTCTGTTTCCAGCTTTGAAGAAGTAACAGTAACTAGATTTTTACTTTGCCACTTTAAACAGCTAAATACCTAGACAGTGATTATTCATGGGAGAGGTAGAGGATTATGACTAGAAGGGGATACAAGGAGAAAGTTTCAAATACCCACTGATACTCATTAAATTATTCATTAGGATGAACATTTGTTTTATGCAATTCTCTGAATTTGGACTATGGTTAATGTGGTAGCCAGACACCAAGATGGCCCCCAATGATAATCCACTTCCTGACAATTACAACCTTGTGTAGTCCCACCCCACACTCCACTGAGGTTGGTCTGTGGACCAAAATGATATGTCAGAAGTGAGACTAATTTATAAAAAATGCATCTTCTCTCCCTTAGATGCTCTCTCTCTCTCTCTTACCCTGATCACTCCCTCTGGGGGAAGCCAGCTGCCATGTTGTGAGGACACTCAGGCAACCTAAGAAAAGACACCCTCCAATTTTATTTTCCATTAGAGGCTTGATGCACAAAATGCATGCAAGAGTAGGCCTTCCTTCCCCCAGCTGCCGGCACCAGCTTCCTTCTGGCAACTGGGACCCGGGCTTCCCTCTGGCACTCGGGACCCAGGCTTCCCTCTGGCCGCCGGCAGGCACCCCAGACCCAGGCTTCCCTCACAGCCCTGGCTTTGTCCAGAAGGACGAAGGACGCCCGGTCTAATTTGCATATTATGCTTTTATTATTATAGACTAGAGGCCCAGTGCACGAAATTTGTGCATGGGGGGGGGGGGGCCCTCAGCCTGGCCTGCACCCTCTCCAATCTGGGACCCGTAGGGCATGCCTCTTGCAACCCAGGACCGCTGGCTCCTAACCATTTGCCTGCCTGCCTGCCTGATCGCCCCTAACCCCTCTGCCTGCCTGATCACTCCTAACCACCTCTGCTTGCCTGCCTGATCATCCGTAACTGCTCCCCTGCCGGCCTGATCACCCCTAACTGCTCCCCCTGCTGGCCTGATCGCTCCTAACCACCTCTGCCTCGGCCCCACACCCTGGACCCAGGATTCCCTCCGCCGGCCAGCCGCAGGCACCTGGGACCCGGGCTTCACTCCCTCTGGCTGGCTGAAGGCACCCAGGACCCGGGCCGGTTTCGCCCAGGCCAGCTGCAGCCACATGGGACTGTGAGTGGGTGGCTTCACCCAGGCCGGCCGCAGGCGCCCAAGATCGTGGGTGGGTGGCTTCACCCGGGCCGCAACCACAAGCACCTGGGACCGCGGGGCTGGCGGCTTTCCTCCCTCTCCAGGGCCACAGCCGCAGCCGCAAGCGCTGGCGCCCGGGACTGCAGGGTGGGCCTCTTTTCTCCCTCTACTGTGCCGCTGGCCCTCGGCCATCGCAGCCGCTGTGGCTTTGTCTGGATAGACATCCGGAAGACATCCCGTCTAATTAGTTTATTACCCTTTTATTAGTATAGATTCCCTTATTGGGCAGTATTTACATTATTTCCAATATTTCATTAAATGCATCAATGAAAACTAGTTTTTCATGTCTTCTTGTACACATCTATAGAGTTTTAGGTGGTCTATCTTTAGCTTCACTACATTTGGTCTAGCTGCTCTCCACGGTAATTTACATTCCCATCTACAGTGCATGAGACTTCCTGTTGCTCACAACTTTGCCTATACTTGGCATTAAGATTTTAAAATGTTTGTAACTATGAGTGAGACAGTATCTCACTGTTCCCTTAATTTGCATTTCCCCAATGATTGAATCTGCATATATTTTCCTATATTTATTAGTTTTTTGGGTTTTCTTTCCAAGAATTATACATTTATATTCCTAGTGGTTATTCCCCTACTATATTGTCTTTTTCTAAATGATGATAGAGGGTTCTTTACATATTCTAAATATTAATGCTTTCTAAGTTACACTTATCACAAATATCTTCTTCAGCCTTAACATTATTCAATGTTTATGGTACCTATTGATGCATGGAAATTTTAAATGTTGAATTTAATCTTTTTCTATGCCTTTGTTTGTCTTGTTTTTTTAAAATCACTATTTACCGGAATATATGGCTTCTATCTCCACTCACTGATTTTTGTTTTTATTCTGTTTCTCTTCCAGAAATATCTTTATTTGGGTTTTATCTCAGCTACGATTTTTTTTTAAGTTTCTCTCCTGTATTACTGCTATGTGTCTGCAACAAAAAGGAACTTTTTGTGTGAACTTTATTCTATCTCAATTCTATCTAAATCATATCTCAACTAAATTCAACATTTCTTAAAATTCGTAAAATTGGGGTTAAAAATAATCTAACTGAACTGCCTACATTTTCTATTCCTAATAGTTTGATTCTTAGGCCAAAAGTTAGTTCTTTTTCACCATTCTGTGTTAGCTCAAATATCACCTTACACAGACTCCTACGGTCAATCTTTATTTCATTATCTTCCTTTATTTTTTCACAGCATTTATTGTCTATAATGATGTTTATTAATTTTATGTTTTCTCCATAATTAGGCATAAGTTTCATGGAAATACACTTTTGTCTGTTATATCTGCAACATGTAAAATAGAGGAAACTAAGACACAGAGATATAAATTCTCCCAAATCTCCTTAATCCTAGTTCAATCTCTTTCCATCTCCAATATTGAGACTTGTAAGCAGGGTTGATTTCCTATCAATTACAAAATACAAAATTACAATAAATAATAAAGATCACTAACATTCTTAAGTGAAAAGCAGATTCTACTTATACCAAGTAGTAAACCTTTATTATAATTTAAATTAAATTAAGTTTTTAAAGCAGCCATAAATTGATCTGTGCCTTCACTAGAAGAAATATCGTTGGTACTCAGATGAGTAAGGGACCTCCTCCCATCAATTTCTGACCTAAATAAAATACAAAAAGGTACTGGACAGAAAACACATCAAAACATATCTTTTTCTTTTTTTTAATGGGATTATGTATTTTTTCCTTTCTCTACTTTCTAAACTTCTTATAGTATGGTTTTATAACTTCTGTCATTTAAAATATTTTTCACTGAAAAAAAGAGCAAACAAAACAAAAGCTCAAAACCCAACAGGTTTACTGACCCTTTTTCAACATTTTCTTTTTTGTTGCAGGAGTAGATGAAGTAAGTGCACATGTAAACTCTGTATCTTCTTTAACCTTAGAAAATTCTGCTGAAGTTAAAAACCACAGAATCATTAAGATATTTGAAAACATTTTCTCCTGTGCTTAGGCACAGGTACTTTCTGAGAATAGAAAATAGAATACCATTTCCCGGTTTGGCTCAGTGGATAGAGTGTCGGTCTGCGGACTGAAAGGTCCCAGGTTCGATTCTAGTCAAGGGCATGTACCTTGGTTGCGGGCACATCTCCAGTGAGGGGTGTGCAGGAGGCAGCTGATCGATGTTTCTCTCTCATGGATGTTTCTAACTCTCTATCCCTCTCCCTTCCTCTCTGTAAAAAATCAATAAAATATATATATTTTAAAAAGAATACCATTTCCACACTACCTTAAGAGCTTATATTATTAAAAAATAAAATAAAATAATGTCTGGTAACCAAAATTGCCTCTTCTGACACTAAGCTCATCTACCTGAGGAAGAGATGTAAAAGTAGAAATAGCCATATACAAAGTGATTCAGCTCCCAGGTGGAAAGAGAATTTTTTCAAGGAAACAGGTATCTGACTGCTAATAAAAAGGATGCCAAATTTTCAGGTCAGTCAATGGTGATGAGTTATTTTCCAAATGCAATTTCTCAACTAATTAGGAAACAATATGACCTGATTTAGCAGAAAAGAAAATAAAGAATATGTTTTAAAGATAAAGTAAAAATAATCATTGTTTATTCATACATTTGTATGATAATATGAACTATAATATTTCCAAGAACATACTCCCACCATACTTTTGAAATTACAATTTAGACAGATATGAATAAGGTTTTATCGAAGTAATTTTATAAGTAGTAAAAAATCATTTTGTCTTGTTTAAAGTTGGTTTAAATAATTTCTCTTACATTTTATTTTGAAATTATTCTTTCATTTTGCCTCATTCAATTAATATCCCTGGTAAGCTCCAAGAATAGTTCATATGTAAACTGCAGTCAAGTTTAAGACCTATTACTAAAGAATTCTAAGCTTGAGAGATGCAAATCAATGGCTTTTTCTTAATAATTTTTAAGTGTAGATTACAGATAGTGATATGTATATACATACCTTTAATTCTGCTTTTACTTTCTGATTGTGCAGTTCTCAGTTTGCCTATAAACAACCAAATACAAAAATGGTCACACAAAGAAATTAGAATATAGGAGAGAGCATCAAATCAAATCCATTTCATATTACCTTTCACTTTCTGTGGCAATTCACTAGTTGCAATTTCCTCTGAATCGCTGCTTTCAGTATACTGGACAGCAGTTTTTCTTCTAAAATTAAATATATGCAATTTTTTTTATCGACCCAAAACGATTATAAATAAAAACATGTTTAATAAATGCTTCTTGTCCTTCCCCATTTATATTTTGAAAAATATTAAAGTGAACCTTTATTTGACAAATGAAAGTCAAATTTGCTACAAACATTTTGTTTTCTTTTTTAAAAATTAAATTTATTGGAGTAAAGCTGGTTAATAGGGTCATATAGGTTTCAAGTGTACATTTCCATGATACATGATCTGTATGTTGCATTGTGTGCCCACCATCCAAAGTCAAAGTATTCTGTTTTCATAACCAGATGCATTTACTATGCAAAATGCAGTTATCACTATTATTAAAATAAATTTGAAAAAGTAAACCATTCTAAAATAGTAATCATTTCAACACTGAGTTCAATTCAGTTAAAACACATAAAACCAGAACAAAAAGGAAATGAAATGAATCTTATCAAATAAAACACTTCCAATATAATGAAATAAGCAGCTAAGAGGCAATAATATAAATCTTCCACAATGAAAAATTTTTGTAAATTTTGTGTAGAAAAAGTATATTATAGTGGTTAAATGCCTAAGTGCAACGGGTTCTACAGTCAGACTGCACAGATTCAAATCCCCATTCTGCCATTTATTTGTTATGTAACTTTAGTTAAGCTATCTAATGGTCCTCTATGCCTCAGTTTCCCCATTTGGAAAACAGAAATAAAGATACAATCCACTTCATTGGATAAAATGATAGAACAAACAAAGCCCCTAAAATAGTTGGTTACACAGTAAGTATAGGTGTACTGGATGTAATTAATATATGTGTTGGTTGTTTTTAGTTTTTCCCATGTCCTCATTATTATTATTTCTATGTCCTTTAACGCGATCTGGTCCACCTAATAGAGCTGTTAGCTAGTTTCCTGGTCAGTTCAGAGTTCTAAGATTTGATATTTGAGAGGAAACTGATGAGTCCTGGTTCTGTGCTCAGTGCAGACAGGTTTTAGTGATAGAAGACAATTAACAGATCCCCAGTTTGAGGTCTTTATTGGTGAAACAGCTAACAGAAACTCAGATTTGAGGTTACCCAACCAATATTGATGGTGGAAAATACAACAAAAGCCAAATATTTAGATCTACTTCAGAGGGTAAATGAAATTTATAACATTAACAGATTCAAGTTGAGATCAGAGGGGCATTGTGCGTTTTATTCAAATATCCCCTCTAGTCTACATTAATATAATACTTTCCATAAATGACTTTATTGTGTCTTATTTCCACTAACGGTAAAGAAAGAACTGAGATGAGCAAAAAGTGCTTTTGTCAAGCTATCTAACAAAATGTCAGTTTCATCTCCTCAAATTCATAAAGCTCTTCTAAAGTTTCAACAAAAACAAAAAATCCAGAAGCTAGATCTTAGTTCCTACGTGAAAGAAATAGAAAAAAAAATAGTAGAAAGACAAGGGATTAAAAATTAATAATTTACTGATGTGCTAAACAAACCTAAAGAGGTAAATTAACAGAATGACTAATTTAGCCATTGCTGCCAGTCACCTTCAGAAAAGTTAAAAAAAATGATCAATTCACTTATTTTATAGATTATTACTTTTCTACCTGCCTAAGTCACAGTGCTTTTTATCAATTTCAAATAAAAAATGTATTTAAAAAACTATATAACTCAGATATAATGGCCCTTTCTCTCTCCTATATGTAAAAAAAATGGAGAAAGAAATTTAAATAAACAAATTATATATTATCAAAACTCAATAAGAGTTTACCTTTTGGAGCGGGAACTAGACAATTCTGACTTGGTATATTTACTCTTTCCCTTGACATCTGAAATACTGGGTTCTCCGCTACACCTAGAGCCTTCCATTTTAAAGAAAAGGACAAATATATAAAATATTAGTAAATTCTTAGGCTAGCAATAATCCTTCTTAAAACCCTGGTTTTCCAACTCAATAATACAACTTTTTAAAAATACTTTTTAATTGAATTACAATTCTTAATATCTCCATTCTTGCCCTTTCAATCAGCCAGCTACTCGTTTCCTATTCTAGTGTTTTCTCATTAAAAAGTACCTTCAATTTGTTTTGTACCCAGTCTTTCCCCTGTAGTCATCCAGCCAATCCCCACATTGGCTGAATTTCCTGATGTACCAAGGCAGCTGAAAGCTGCTGGAAAAAAATGAACAGTAAGTAGATAATTATCTATACTAATAAAAGGGTAATATGCTAATTAAACCGGACATCCTTCCGGACAAAGCCACAGTGGCTGCTGCTGCGAGGGCTGGGCTGAGGCTCAGTCAAGCCACAAATGGCAGCTGCTGCTGGGAGGGCCCGGCCAAGGCTCAGGCAGCCACGGCAGATGGGGGCGTCGCCTTCCCCTGATCAGCCCGGTCGGTCGCCTCCCACAGAGGAAGGCCTGAGGCAGCAGCAGTGAGGAGGTGATGGGGGAGGTGCCTCCCCATGATTGGCCAGTCGCCTCCCGCACAGACTGTGGCTAAGCCGTCAGTAGGACATCCCCTGAGGGCTCCTGGACTGTGAGAGGGAGCAGACCGAGCTGATGGACCCCCGTACCCCCAGTGCACAAATTTTTGTGTACCGGACCTCTAGTCCTTTATAATAAAAAGGTAATATGCTAATTAGACCAAACAGCAGAACAACCGTCCGGATGACCTTCCAGATGACCATCCAGACCACCTTCCAGACAAAGCCGGGGCTGCAAGGGCTGAGCCCCTTGCACAACTTTCATGCATCAGGCCTCTAGTCTTCTATAAACTCCTAATTTTTCTATCTTTTTACTTCCTCAATTATCTATATTTTCCCTGAACTATATTTTCTTTCCTTCTAATGCTAACTCATCTACCTGTTCTCTTGACCTCATTTCTTCCCACAGGCCTATAAAATAGTCTCTCCATTGTATTCAAAATCTTCCTATCCACGGATTTCTTTCTTAAACTAAAAAATAGGCAACCAAAAAAGCCCTTGCCCTAACTATTTTGGCTCAGTGGATAGAGTGTTGGCCTGCGGACTGAAGAGTCCTGGGTTCAATTCTAGTCAAGGGCACATGCCCGATGGGAGGCATGCAGGAGGCAGTCAATCAATGACTCTCTCTCATCGTTGATGTTTCTATTTTTCTCTCCCTCTTCCTTCCTCTCTGAAATCAATAAAAATATATTTTAAAAAATGTTTGAAAAAAAACAAAACACCCTCAATTCTGCATCCCTTTCCAACTATCTATTTCCCTCTCCTATCTCAAATATAACAAACTGCAAATCGCACACAGCTGTACTTCCAATTCTTCACCTACTATTTTTAAAATATTTTCAGCCTGTTCTGCTCTAATAATCTTCAGAAATTAATTTGTGAAGTGATTATTAAGTACAACCATATAATGGGTAAGTCCAGAGATCTCATTAGTTCTCCTGACTTCAGAGTTTGTTTCTAACCTTTCTTTCCATAGATGCTGCTGTCCATGTACATCTACATATATAAAACCCTAATATGCAAATAGACCGAATGGCAGAACAACCGAACAACCAGTCGCTATGATGTGTGCTGACCACCAGGGGGTGCACACAGAACATGGTGAGCGTCAGCAGCAGGCAGCAGAGCACAGAACATGGTGGGATGGTGGAGCAGGGGCATCAGACCAAGGCGGAGCACTGGTCGCTGTCATCAGGGCAAGCCTCTGGTGGTTACCGAAAATTCTTTGTCCCACACGCCGCGGTCCCACTAGGAACTCGCACCTGCTGCTGGCGCTGGCCCCACTCACACCTGCTGCCGGCACCTGGCACCAGCCCCGATCACTTGGCGCCATCAGCAGGTGTGAGCGGCGGCTGCTGGCCCTGATCGCCCCTCATGGCTTCTCCACCTTCCCCTACTCCTGAGGGGCAATCGGGGCCGGCAGCTGCCTCTTGCACCCACTGCTGGTGCCAGAGACACCGCTCCACCCACTGCCAGCGCCAATCCCGCTCACACCCACAGCCAGCACCGGAGCCACTGCTCGCACCCACTGCCAGTGCCCAGCCCTGGTCCCAATTGCTTGGTGCCATCAGTGGGTGCAAGAAACAGCTGCTGACCCAATCGCCCCTGAGGGCTTCTCCACCTTCCCCTGCTCCTGAGGAGTGATCAGGGCAGCAGCTGCCGCACGCACCCATTGAGGGCGCCAGCCCCACTTGCACCTGTTGCTGGCACTGGCCCCAATCGCTCTGCGCCGTCAGCAGATGTGAGTGGGGCCAGTGCCATCAGTGCGTGGGAGTGGGAGCAGAGCTGTGGGCAGACAGGGGACTGGGGGCTGCAGCAGGCGGGTGTGGGTGGGGGCACGGAGGATGAGCCAAGACCCACCCCTTCGCCCACCACAGCCTCACGGCCCACAGTTCTTTTTAAGGTGCAGGAATTTGTGCACCGGACCCCCTAGTTACACTATAAATACTATAAACTAATCTGAGGTCCCAGAACAAAATATGCTCTATTTTTGTGTTTTTATTTTGCTGTTTAACTACCTTTCACAGGATATGTTTCTTGACCAAAAATGTTCTTCCTCAGCTTCTCTGCCTGGTGTACTACCACCCAATTCCATGATCACCTCCTTGATGGAATTTTTCCTGACAACCATCATTCAGAAAAAGAGATTGGAAGTTTTTGTACAGTACAGAGCCCCAGCACTAGAATTACATAATTAAATTAGAAAAATCTCACAATAGGGTGGTGAAGGCCTGGGATGGGGGCGGGGCAGGCTAGAAGAGGTCAATGGGGGGGAAAAGGGAACATATGTAATACTTTCAACAATAAAGATTTAAAAATAAGAATTTAAAAATCTCAATAAAATATGAGATCATATCAAAATTAAAGTTTACCTTTGGTTAGTTCATCTGTCTTTTCACTGGTATTGTTTCTTCCAAATTTCATAGATCCATTGTTAATATTACATTCCTAGATGAAAAGGCATATTTCTTACATAGTACTGTTGTCAGTTTTAAATAAGCTTAAAATGCATCCTATTCTATATTCCTTTATTTTACATAATAAAGACTATTTAAATTGTTACTACATTTTTGAGCAAAGGGGAAAGGTGCATTAAGTAAAAAGAAAAAATACATTAACTGATTAAAATTTTCTTCACAGGTATCTCAAAAAAGAAAACTAGTTGGTCTTTACCTTGCAAAAAGAATACAAAAAGCAGTGCTCACTTCGGCAGCACATATACTAAAATTGGAACGATACAGAGAAGATTAGCATGGCCCCTGCGCAAGGATGACATGCAAATTCGTGAAGCGTTCCATATTTAAAAAAAAAAAAGAATACAAAAAGCAAACCTCAGTTATAAATGGCATGTTAGTTACTTTGAGAAACATTCATGAAATGGGAGTTACTTTAGAATTAAAAGAAATTCTCAGATGATAAGCTTTCAAAACAAGGGTCCCTACAGCAAGTAATAGATCTTTAATGAGGCTGCCATTGCCATGCTTTTTCTCTCCTGTTTTACTCTATCAGGGATTTTCCTGTCAACCTGACTTTCCTTTTTCCTTCATGTAAACCCTTTTGTTTCAAAATGCATCAATGTACACATGAATAAAAACTTCTATAAAAGTAAAACTTTATACTTCTTCATGAAAATATTTTTAACTGAGTCTAGCAAGGAAGGATTCCTCCCATCTTCTAATTCTTAACTTGATTCTGTAAGTAGGAATAAACCCAAATAAAATGGGATTTAATTGAATTAATTCTTGTAGGTTAAAAAAAGTAGGTGAAGTTGTCATATTATAAATCAAAACCTCAGAATGGATGGCAGGATTGGTAGACAGGAGTACAATAATTTTTGCTGAAAATTAGGGCTAATAAAGGATATTTAATTTTAGTTTTAAAAAAACAGAATTTTAAACATTTTACAAAATCCCCATGACAGTTAGGATTTATTAAAAATGTGACTGAAAGAGATATATCCCCTTCTAATGGTATGGGTGGGAAAATCCAAAATGCAACATTTTTAGAGATATGTAGCTAGAAGAGTTATTTTAGATAATTTTAAAGCATTAATAACTCCAAGGAACTAATATAAAAAATGCTTTTCGATCTTCTTCAATAGTTAGTACAACCATTTTTATTAAACAGTATGCAAAAAAATCTAAAATTGTATCCAAATATAAAAGATATTCTTTACATTATTCATTTTATATTAATTTTGATTAGGCAAGCTTTTTCTCCATAGAGTTCAAAGACAAATTTTCTACAAAGTCCAACCTATCAATCATCTAATGAAATTTAAATCAATTATATTTTACTCTGTAAAGCTTGGGATATCTAAATCTACTTAAAATACTGGAATTTTTGTTGCAATAAATTCTAAGCTGGAAATCACATTTTCAGCCTCAATTTCAATTAATGTAGCAAACTATCCTAAAACCTTCCAAATATAAAACACCTTAAATGCATGGCTAATCTTGGGGGTGGGGGGCGGGGCGGGGAGGGAGAGCCTTACTGATAAAAGATAAGTTTTAAATTGATAACTGACACTGATGCTATAAGAAGTCCTAGGTGCTTTTCGTTTCTTTTAATGACCAAGTGTAAAAAGAACAGTATATAAAGCATTAGACTATTCTGGTAGGGAATTAGATCTCAGATGTTAATAGAGTTAAACTCGCAATGAAAGTATAAAGAAGGAAATGCAACTAAGTGCAGACATTAATAAATCTATTAACCAATGGCAGGAAACTGGAGTGCAGCCTCTTTGAAATCTAAAAATTTAGAAGTCTTAAAAAATATTTTTGCACAGATCTTTTGCTTAGTTATTTCCTACTTTAAGTTCTTTGAATTTTCAGCTCACAACAAAGAATACTGTTTCATTTTAATAATATTTATTTTTCCATAAAATGAATTCACTTTATTAGAAATTGAATATAACTATATTAGGCAAACATCTGATACACACAAACACACACACACACACACACACACACAAACAAGTTAAATATAAAAATTCACGAATATTCTCATCATTAGATCATAATTATCACTATTAACATTTTGGCACATATAGTGTATAACTACACTTAGATATACATAAATATGTAATTATAAAATGAAAAGTCAGATACTATATACAGATGTGGCCTTGGCCCTGTTTTTTTTGTTAATCCTCACCCAAGGATATTTTTTTCCATTGATTTTTAGAGAAAGTGGAAGGGAGAAAGGGCAGGGAAGAGGAATGAGAGAGGGAGAGAGGGAGAGGAAAAAAGAGAGAGAGAGGGAGAGAAAGAGAGAAAGAGAGAAAGAGAGAGAGAGAGAAACATCAATGTGAGACACATTGATTGGTTGCCTCCTGCACGCACCCCAACCAGAGCTTGGGATCCAACCTGCAACCCAGGTATATGACCTTGACCAGGAATCGAACTGGAGACCCTTCAGTGTGTGGGCTGACATTTTAACCACTGAGAAACACCAGCGAGGGTGCCACTCGCCTTTTTTATTTTTTTTAAATATACTTTATTGATTTTTTACATCGAGGAAGGGAGAGGGATAGCGAGTTAGAAACATCGATGAGAGAGAAATGTCAATCAGCTGCCTCCTGCACACCCCCTACAGGGGATGTGCCTGCAACCAAGGTACACACCCTTGACTGGAATAGAACCTGGGACCCTTCAGTCCGCAGGCCTACGCTCTAAGCACTGAGCCAAACTAGTGAGGGCTTCACTTGCCTTTTTTAACTAAAAAAAATCATGACAATATTCTTCAAAAATAGAATTTTGTAATTTTGTATAACTATTAAATTTTATATCTATACTAGAGGCCTGGTGCACAAAAATTTGTGCTCTCGGGGGGGTCCCTCAGCATGACCTATGCCCTCTTGCAGTCTGGGTCCTCTCCGAGGATGTCCACCTGCTGGCTTAGGCCCGCTCACTGGGGGATCGGGCCCAAGCTGGCAGTCAGACATTCCTCTGGCGGCCCGACAGCCTTGGGGGATGTCCACTTCCCACCGGGGAGCAGGCCTAAGCTGCAGTCGGACATCCTTAGCGCTGCTGAGAAGGCGGGAGAGGTTCCCGCCACCACCGCTGTACTGGCAGCCGTCGGCCTGGTTGTGGCTGAGCAGAGCTCCCCCTGTGGGAGCCCACAGACCACCAGAGGGCAGCTCCTGCATTGAGCATCTGCCCCTGGTGGTCAGTGTGTGTCATAGTGACCAGTCATTCCCAGTCGTTCTGCTATTGGGGTCAGTTTGCATACTACCCTTTTATTATATAGTATAGAGGCCTGGTGCATGGGTGGGGGCAGACTGGTTTGCCCTGAAGAGTGTCCTGGATCAGTGTAGGGGTCCCGCTGGGGTGACTGGCCAGCGTGGGTGAGGGGCTGATGGCTGTTTGCAGCTGGTCACACCCCCTTCAGGGTGGGGGTTCCCACTGGGGTGTCTGGCCAGCCTGAGTGAGGGGTTGATGGCTGTTTGCAGGCTGGTCACACCCCCTTCAGGGTTGGGGTCCCTACTGGGGTGCCTGGCCAGCCTGGGTGAGGGGCTGATGGCTGTTTGCAGGCTGGTCAAAACCCCCCCCCCAGTGGGGACCGTCACCCCATGGAGGTTTGGCCAGGTTGGTTGAGGGGCTGATGGCTCTTTGCAGGCTGGCCACACTCCCTTTAGGGTGGGGAGTCCCCACTGGGGTGGCTGGCCAGTCTGGGTGAGGGGCTGAGGGCCATTTTCAGGCTGGCCAAGCCCCCCGGTGACGGAAGCTCCCAGCCTCTCCTTTTTTTCTTTTTTTTTTTTTTCCTGGGATTTATTTACCTTCTATAATTGAAACTTTGTAGCCTTGAGAGGAGCTCAGAGCCGGCCAGGGCGGGTGGGAGGGAAGCCTCCTGCTCGCTCCAGCTCCGTGGCCATGGCTGGCTGAAAGCAGGTATCTGGGGTTTATTTACCTTCTATAATTGAAACTTTGTTGCTTTGAGTGAAGCTCAGAGCCAGGCCGCAGCAAGCGGGAAGCTTGGCTTCCTCCATTATTGGGGCAACCAAGCCTCCTGCTTGCTCAAGCTCCGTGGCTGCCGGCTGACATCTTGGTTGGGTTAATTTGCATATAGTCGCTCTGATTGGCTGGTGGGCGTGGCTTAAGGCATAGCAAAGGTTCGGTCAATTTGCATGTTTGTCTTTTATTAGTGTAGATTATAATTTAACTATTAGCTTACTGAGAGGTGTTTCTGTTTTTTTCTTTTTTTGTTTAATTAAAACTTTATTTTTCAGATTATTACAGTTGTTCCCCTTTTTTCTCCCCATAGCTCCCCTCCACCCGGTTCCCACCCCAACCTCTGCCCTTACCCCTCCCACTGTCCTCATCCATAGGTGTACGATTTTTGTCCAGTCTCTTCCCGCATCCCCCACACCCCTTTCCCCCCCGAGAATAATCAGTCCACTCCCTTTCTATGCCCCTGATTCTATTATATTCACCAGTTTATTCTGTTCATCAGATTATTTATTCACTTGATTTTTAGATTCACTTGTTGATAGATGTGTATTTGTTGTTCATAATTTGTATCTTTACCTTTTTCTTCTTCTTCCTCTTCTTAAAGGATACCTTTCAGCATTTCATATAATACTGGTTTGGTGGTGATGAACTCCTTTAGCTTTTCCTTATCTGTGAAGCTCTTTATCTGACCTTCAATTCTGAATGATAGCTTTGCTGGATAAAGTAATCTTGGTTGTAGGTTCTTGGCATTCATCACTTTGAATATTTCTTGCCACTCCCTTCTGGCCTGCATAGTTTCTGTTGAGAAATCAGCTGACAGTCGTATGGGTACTCCCTTGTAGGTAACTGACTGTCTTTCTCTTGTTGCTTTTAAGATTCTCTCTTTGTCTTTTGCTCTTAGCATTTTAATTATGATGAGTCTTGGTGTGGTCCTCTTTGGATTCCTTTTGTTTGGGGTTCTGTGTGCTTCCTAGACTTGGAAGTCTATTTCTTTCACCAGGTAGGGGAAGTTTTGTGTCATTATTTCTTCAAATAGGTTTTCAATATCTTGCTCTCTCTCTTCTTCTGGCATCCCTATAATTCGGATGTTGGTACGCTTGAAGCTGTCCCAGAGGCTCCTTACACTATCTTCGTATTTTTGGATTCTTTTTTCATTTTGCTTTTCCGGTTGGGTGTTTTTTGCTTCTTCGGATTTCAAATCTTTGACTTGATTTTTGCAATCCTCTAGTCTGCTGTTGGAACTCTTTATAATATTCTTTATTTCAGTCAGTGTATACTTAATTTCTAGTTGGTCCTTTTTCATAACCTCGAGGGTGTCACTAGATTTCTTGTGGGTCTCACTAAATTTATCGGCGTTTTCTAGAAAATTCTTGAAAAACCTTAAAAGTGTGGTTTTGAACTCTATATCCAGTAGTTTGCTTTCCTCCATTTCTGTCATTTGTGACCTGTTTCTTTGTCTCCGCATTTTTTATGCTTCCCTGTGTTGATAGAGTGGCTTTGTGTGCTAGGTGTCCTATAGGGCCCAGTGGCTCAGCCTCCCCAATTACCTGAGGTGGACACTCTTGGTGCACCCCTTTGTGGGCTTTTTGCACAGTTTTGTTGTAGTTAAGCCTTGATTGTTGTAGGTATCACTCGGAGGAATTGACCTCCAGGCCAATTGGCTGTGAGAATCAGCTGTGTCTGCAGTGGGAGAACTTCTGTGCTGGAGACACCCTTCTGGGGCAAGACTTGCTTCAATGGGGCTTTGGTGCTCACTGAGTCTGCCCCCTGAGTGTGTCCCTTATGGATCTGAGGAGTTGTAATCTGGATGGTCCCACTCTGACCACTGGGTACACTGGCTCTTGGATCTCTAAGGAGGTGCTAATTTAGCCTCTGCTTGAGGCTACCCAGCAGGAGCTATGGAGAGATCTGAAGATTCCTCTTCTTTTTTTGGTGTTTGGAGGTGCCCAGATGAGGCCCAGCTGTGAAGCAATGCAAGCTGCTGTGGGGCCTTGGGCCTTCTTTTGGAAGTTCTGGGTCTCTCTGACCCAGGCTGCAGTTCGTTAGGTAATTTTCAGATTGCAAAGGGCCAGGCCTTTCATATGCAAACGTCTCTGCGCACAGCTTGGGTGGGGCGGGGTGTCAGGGGATCAACAGGGCGGAGCAAGCAGCTATGGGCTCCTCCCTCAGTCACCCTAAGAGGGTCCCGCGGTCTCAGTGTCCCCGGTAAATCGCTGCAAGCCCCTCTGAGAGAAAAGCAGCCCTCGAGTTCCGCCCGATGCCAGACAGTCCAGTTTCTCCCTGTATGAGTCTTGGTCCCCAGAGAGTCGCTGGGAACTGGAGTTCAGAGCAGTCAGGAGCTTGAGACTCCCTCCTGATTGAAAAAGACAACCGTGTCCTCAGTTGCCAGCCCTTTCCACGTACGCCTCCGTACCTCTGCACTTTACTTCCGCACCTCCTCTGATTCTCAGTGTGCTTTTCTCTTTCCTTCTAGTTGTAGAATTTCCACTCAGCCAGCCTTCCTGTGGTTCTGGATGATGTCCGTTTTGTCGTTTAGTTGTATTTTTGAAGTGGTTGTGCGAGTCAGCAATTTCCGGTGTTTACTTATGCCGCCATCTTGGTTTCTCCGAGGTGTTTCTTTTTTGTGTCTAAAATAATGCTGAGGGGAAATAAACTTGTACTTTTATCTTTGGAAAAAATACATTTCTGATAACTTCTTTAGGTAGTTTCTTTAAAAAGACATTATTGACTGGAAAATTATAAACATTTTCAAGGCTCTTGATACAAATTACCAAAATGCCCTCAAGAATGTGGCACTGATGTTCACTCTTATCAGCAACAAATGAGAGAGGCCTGATGTCTCTGAAAACAATGCATATTATCAATTTTTTGGCAATTATTTTTTAATGACAAATTTAAAAGTTTTAAAACTAAACCAAAGACTTCAGAGGAAAAAAAAACACAAACATTCACTAATACTTTACCTTCTTCAGTTGATTTTTTTTAATTCTTTCAACAGGAAGAGGTTTACCATCATGGAAGTTGGTAAGAATTACTGCAATGGCTGTAAGAGTTTTGCCCTTAAAATTTTTCAAAAAGACAAATGGTCAGATTCTAAAATCCAGTTGATGAGAGAACATTCCAAAACCAATTTAAAATCAATTAAGTAAATATCAAACACCATTCAAAGCCACAGAAGTGTACTGATTATTATATTAGATAATATACATATTAATTAAAAGTGTCATTAAGAAATACTTTCCCACACTGCATTGTTAGAAATTATTAAATTATTTACTCATAAAATACTATAAACATCTCTGAGAAATGTGGTTTTATTAAATGACTGCTGTTCTAAGAGTTTACATTTAACCCTAAACTAATAACTTTATCATGAAACTACTTTTGCTTGCTATATAATTCCAAGCTAATTTAAAATTATCAGTCATTCCAGTATACACATAAGGTAATCATTTTATTAAATTTCATTTAAATATAATTCCAACACTTAAAAGCTATAAAGAACATGATATATCTTATAGGTTTTTCTTAAATAAAAACATGCAATTTTTTATTTTTGGCCATAGCTGAATTTATAATTAGCAACACAGAAACAAATCTGGGAATTTTAAGGCAGTGTAAGGTAGCAATTTTCAATGTGTGATCCATACAGGCCCTAGGGGACCCCAGGACCCTTTCAGGAGTTATGTGCAATCAAAACTATTTTCATAATACTTCTAAGACCTTATTTGTGTTAACATCTGTAGGAATGCCACAAAAAGCAATGGAGGGCAAAATTGCTAGTGCCTTAGCATAAAACAAAACAGGTGACACTACTTTCTAATAGTGATTATTGTATTAACTGCCACTCATAATAAAAAAAAGTAAATGCCAGTTTCACTTTAAGAATGTTAAAAATGTTCTTAATGAAGCAGTACACATTAATTTTATTAAATCTTGCCTCCTAAGTACATATCTTTAAAATATCCTGTAAAACAAGATGAGAAGTACACATAAAATACTTCTTTTGATACCAAAATATGAGGGCTATCTAGGGGAAAAATCACTGTGAGATTAACCATGATGCATCATCTCACATCATCACTTTTTTATGCATCACTAATTTTACATGAAAGAATAACCAACAACTAGTTATTCATGACAAAGTGGCAGAAATTTTCTTGAAAAATGAACAAAGTGAGTCTATCGTCTTCTAGGGAAACAATTGATAGCATCTATTGTTAATGATAAAATTTCAACTTTCAAGCAAAAATCAGAATGTTAGAAAACTTGTATCCGATACTATGGGAATAGAAGCTTTCCAAAATGTAAATGCCTAATAAGATCAGCAGTATTACCAATGAATTAAAATTGTTGATATAATATAATGAAATGCATTGACATTTGACAGATCTGTATAACTCAGTGAATGATTTTATAAAATGCCTGATGTTATAAAATCATGCATGGGTAAAATATGCATTCAATATGTAAGCTACCCCAATGGATTTTAATAGAGTATAAAAAGTTCACTGATATGACTTTTAAGTTCCACATTATAACTACAATATGTAATGAACTAATACTTGCTTGATTTTTTTATTGTATCAAAGAAGACTATATTTATCTAAAAAGGCTATTAAAACACTGCTCTCTTTCCAACTACAAATCTGTGTAAGGATTAAGTTTCTTTACATATTTTAAACAAAACATATATCACAACGGACTGAATGATAAACCAGATTCAGATGCCATCTATTAGCCCAGACATTAAAATGATTTGCAAAATTAAATGTGAGTTTTCTTATCAAAATTGCTTTTGTTTTTGAATACTTTTCATTAAAAAAATATGCTATTCATGTTAACAAGTAAGTTTGTTAACTGTTATTTTTCAGTTAATAATTAAAAAAATTTTAATAGTATAAATTAAAATTAATAGTATAAATATTTATAGATATATTAATAGATATAACCCACAAAAAAAAAAAAGCTCTTTGGGCCACTCAAGAATTTTTTAGTGTAAAGGGTCACTGAGACCAAAAAGTATAAAAACTGCTGGTGTAAGGAATCATGAATATACATTTAAGTACTCTGCATATCACAACATTTGTGATATACTACAAATAATTTTACATAACACTGTTGTCTTTCCTTTTAAAAATTTTTGAGAAAAACATGTTAATATCATTACACTAATTATTTTAATTGTATCTTAAGAGTACAAAAACAAAAAGCTTACCATTATTTTAACTGAAAATCATAGGAAAAAACTGTGTTCTACACTGGAAGTGAAATCTAGTCCCAAACTGGCATTAATATATTCCTCTTACCTACTTCAAAATTACTTTCTATAAAATCACGATTACAAAATAAAATTTTACTAACTCAAGAAAAAGAATAATTACCAAACCCATATCATCAGCTAAAATTCCTCCATGGACATTTTCTGGTCGATCCTTCTCAGAAAAATTTGTTATTGTGTTATAGTATAAGTCACTTCGCTGTTCCCAGAATGGTGGAAGTTCTTTACTGTTTTCCCGGGAAATCATCCAAGCTAGAGCTTGTTTTTGATGTGGGAGCAATGATGTTTCAATAGCCTTTAAATAAAAGAAATGTCATAAATAGAGGTACAATAAGCGCTTTCAGCCCCTCCTCCCTCCGAATCTGGAAAACAGCTAATCTTGTGATAAAAAATGTATAAATTAATAGAATATTTATAAATTGAAAATACTGGTTCAGTACCTCAGCTGGTTCCATTTCATGAGTTTTATCATCTTCTTTTAGATCTTCAAACAATTTGTCAAATTCTGTTTTAAGCTACAACAAAGAGCAATAAGAAACATGGAACAAAACAATTAAAATAATAATTACACAACTCGGATATTTAATCAACTATAAAAGTTGAATAACAAAAGGTACATCAATTATTTAAAATACTACACTGCTCAGTGAATACAGAATGAATAAGTGGTTTAGGTATAAAAGGTAACTATGTTACAGTCAGAAGAATAGAGTTGTAAATATTGGGTTTCAGTAATAGCTCTGTCACAAATAAACCTATAAATAACTTTGGGCAACACACTTAACCTTTATGGCCCTGTATCTTATTCCTGTAAAATCAAAGGAATGAACTAGATATAGAATGTCTCTAAGGTTCCTCCTGCCATTGAATTTCTATGATTATACTAGAGCAGTGATGGCGAACCTATGACACGCGTGTCAGAGGTGACACGCGATCTCATTTTTTGGTTGATTTTTCTTTGTTAAATGGCATTTAAATATATAAAATAAATATCAAAAATATAAATCTTTGTTTTACTATGGTTGCAAAGATCAAAAAATTTCTACATGTGACATGGCACCAGAGTTAAGTTAGGGTTTTTCAAAATGCTGACACGCCAAACTCAAAAGGTTCGCCATCACTGTACTAGAGGCCCAGTGAACAAAATTCGTGCACTTGGGGGGGTTGGGGGAGGGTCCCCTCAGCCTGGCCTGTTACCTCTAGCAGTCCCGGAGTCCTCAGGGGATGTATGACTGCTGGCTTAGTGCTGCCACGGAGGTGGGAGAGGCTCCTGCCACCACCACTGCGCTTGCCAGCCATGAGCTTGGCTCATAGCTTCTGGCTGAGCAGCGCTTCCCCTGTGGGAGCACACTGACCACCAGGGGGCAGCTCCTGCATTGACCATCTGCCCCCTGGTGGTCAGTGCACATCATAGTGACCAGTCATTCCACCATTCGGTCAATTTGCATATTAGCCTTTTATTATATAAGACTAGAGGCCCGGTGAACGAAATTTGTGCATGGGGAGGGGGGAGGTCCCTCAGCCTGGCCTGCACCCTCTTGCAATCCAGGACCCCTCGGGGGATGTCCAACTGCTAGATCTCTGCTGGATTGGGCCTAAACTGGCAGTCGGACATCCCTCTCGCAATCCAGGACCACTGGCTCCTAACCACTTGCCTGCCTGAATGCTTGATTGCCCCTAATCATTCTGCCTGCCTGCTTCATCACCCCAACCACTCGCCTGCCTGCCTGATCGCCCCGAACCACTCATCTGTCTGCCTGATAGCTCCTAACCACTCACCTGCCTGCCTGATCACCCCTAACCACTCTGCCTGCCTGCCTGATCACCCATAAGTGCCTCTGCCTCGGTCCCTGCCTCCACAGCTTCGTCTGGAAGGACATCCAGAATGTTGTTTGGCTGTCTGGTCTAATTAGCATATTACGCATTTATGATTATAGATAGGATTACATAGTTGCATTCAAACCATTTTGGTGGATCCTACCAGGTACATTTGACTTTTTTTCAGTCAATGATTTTTTATTTTTTATTACTGCAGTAAAAATCTTGCTGTGTAACATAAAATATTGGGACGAGCCCTAACAGGTTTGGCTTGGTGGATAGAGTGTCGGCCTGCGGACTGAAGGGTCCCAGGTTCGATTCCAGTCAAGGGTATGTACCTTGGTTGTGGGCACATCCCCAGTAGGAGGTGTGCAGGAGGCAGATGATGTATGTTTCTCTCTCATCCATGTTTCTAACTCTCTATCCCTCTCCCTTCCTCTCTGTAAAAAATCAATAAAAGATATTTAAAAAAAATATTGGGATGATTTCAATCTTCTGCTAATTTAGTTGGTTCTTTAAATTGGATCTAGTCAACTTTTATAGCAATGTATATGTGTTAGAATTACTTTTGTAAATACCACATGAATATATAGCAATAGTCCAGAAGAAATCAGGCCAACTCTAAACAGTTAGGAGAGGTAACCTGGGGTTTACCCACCAGACATAGGCTCAAGACCTTCTAACAATAAGTAGGGAAAATTCAGTAATTTATAATCAGAATAGAAAAAGGCTAACACTAATACTGATGGGTAGAGACAAAAAAAATTGTAGATTGATCTGCATTACTTTATTTTATATCCCTTCCCCCCCCCACCCCAAACTAATTCAGGATAACAGTATCCTAAATTACAAATAGACAAAGTTAAGCATTAGAGTAATGCCAAAGAACTGGAATTATTTTTTTAGCACTATATTTGCAACCTTACTAAAAGGAGTTAAAATTCAAGCTTTAATTTTTAAAAAATACTTGCATAGTTCAAAAATTTCAAACACAATAAAAACATCAAAATATACTGAAACATCCCATGCATATACAGCAATATAGGTGTTTTAAATGTAGGTATGAATGTGAGCCCATGGATATATTCCTTATCACTGATTTCTTTTTACATAAATGTTTGCAATATATATTTATTCTATATGTTACATAACTTAACAATATATCTGAAGATCACTAATGCGAGCACATACATATTTATCTTATTCTTTTAAACACCACTCTTCATTTAAAATTCACTTTTAGATTACAAAATATAAGAAAAGCACACCTGTTCAGTTGTCAGCTGTACTGCAGCATGAACTGGCATACTATAGCTTGGCCCAGCTTTTCCAGAGCCCCAACCACTTTCCAAACTGAATCCAAAAGCTATAATTTACAAAATGAAAATAAAATCACCAAATAAAATAGGTTATTTTTTAGCAAATAGCTTTTAAAACTTATAAAATAAGCTCCATTAAAAATACTCTTTAATATATTTTAAAATTTTTTAGCCCTGGACGGTGTGGCTCAGTTGGTTGGAGCGTTAACCTGTACACCAAAAGGTCATGAGTTTGATTCCAGGTCAGAGCACATATCCAGGTTCAATCACGGGACAGGTTGTGTGCAGCAGGCAGGTGATTGATGTCTCTCTCACATCGATGTTTCTCTCTCTCTCACACTCTCCCCCCCCCCTCTAAAATAAATAAAAACATATCCTAGAGTGAAGATTTAAAAAAAATAGTTTTTTTTGCCCTGACCGGTTTGGCTCAGTGGATAGAGCGTTGGCCTGCGAACTGAAGGGTCCCAGGTTGGATTCCAGTCAAGGGCATGTACCTTGGTTGCGGGCACATCCCCAGTGGGGGGTGTGCAGGAGGCAGCTGATCGATGTTTCTCTCTCATGGATGTTTCTAACTCTCTATCCCTCTCCCTTCCTCTCTGTAGAAAATCAATAAAATATATTTTTAAAAAATAATAATAAAAAAATTTTTTAAAAGTTTTTTAAAAGCTAAATCCTATCATTAATACACTATTAAAATAATTCTACATTATTTGAATAAACACTTGCTAAACAAATAATTCTTTCCCATTCTCTATTTTGAGATTCTTATTGTCTATATGTAATTTATCAAAGAGAACATTTACAATCAAGATTTCTAGATACTATCATTAGAGGAATTTGCGGGAGGGATTTATAGGACCTCCTAGTATATTTCTCTCTCTCTCTCTCTCTCTCTCTCTCTCTCTCTCTCTCTGTGTGTGTGTGTGTGTGTGTGTGTGTGTGTGTGTGTGTGTGTGTGTGTAAAACCTCCTATGAAACTATAGTTGTTTCAAATTAAGAGAAAAAAATTCCCGGATTTTCTTTAAAAGACTCCACAAAAGTTATAACTTAGAGCCTTCATGCAAATTAGTTTAGTCAACCAAACTCAAAGTATCACTTAAGATAACAAATGTTTACAATTTCTACATTTTTACAATATCAAAATAATAGTAGGTTAAACCCTAAACTTACTTTTTGGTGCAGGACCCAATTTAAATCCATGTTTTTTCAACTGATCTAAAACCGCTTTTCTATTTTCTTCTTTTCCCCAAAGAGTCATATGCAGAGGCATGGTAAAAGCGTTGTTTGCACCAAAAGGGACTACCCTATTGTATTTAAGAAGGAAAAAAAAGTGAGAAATTAAAAGTGGCCATTTTTCACTCCCATTAAGAATCTGACTATTAAATATTCTGTGTTGCATTCAAATTTTGCATGAAGTAAAATAGGGAAGAACTAGTGGGCAGACGAGAAAGAAAATGATAGGAACAGGACCAACAATAATCAGAAGAAAGGGGCGGTTTTTACTAACAGAATGACAGAAGAAACAGAGTAAACTAGATAGATAAAGCAGTGTTTAAATATAAGAATAGTCTATAATCAATCTTGTAAGATAAATAAAATAGTAAGTTTAACTGAGAGGGTAGAGCTTTCATTAATACAACCAGAGGCTAGCAACCCATTCTGAAACTGGAGAATTATTTGCAAGAACTATTTCTGATCCAGTTTATTCTCAATATTTGAAAAACCTGATGAACTGAGAAAGAAGAAAACAAGTACACAAATAAAGTGAGAAGACATTTCTGAGCCTTTGTCTTCCAAACTCACTTTTTTATATCCTAACATTCCATACTTAAATTGAGATCACAAACACAAATGTACAAAAGAACTGGAGTATGCCCTGGATAAAGCTATAGGTGCTACTCAGCAGTAGTCAATTGATGTCATGTGAAAATGAGAGATCAGCATCACCAAACCTTCCATTTGTCAAGAATAATCTTCATAAATAATTTTTATATTCAGGAAAAAATAACGTATAAAATACAGGATATCCAGATATTCAAATATTGGGGGAAATTTTTAATTTTTAAACACTGTGTAGACAAAATGAAGCTGACCTACATCTGATCACAGGCTACCAGTTTCACAACCTTTGATTTAAACAAACACTTCCAAACTCCCAAATCTATGCACTAAAAGGTTTGGAGAGACAGTGTGAACTTCCCAATATTTAAACCATAGTCTATTTTTCTCCAAGGCAATAATTCAAAAGAAAAGTGAGGGAATAGCTAGGTAGTAGAGGTAAATGACAGGAGAATTAAAACATTTATTAAACACATGCTAAAGGTGTAGTGATAACTATACAGACATAACAAATTCAAAGCTCAATACAACTCAAAATTATTAAAACTAAACTCTGAAATACATTACCCTTCAACTTGTGCCAATTTGTTGTCCATAATATAGGCCAAAGCAGCTGCAAGCTCTTTCTTTAAATGGCCAACTTGATTTCCATTCACATTGTTTACTTTAATTGCATTCTTATCATAGGGGTTATTGGGGTCTCGTTGTAATGCAACCATTTCATTATTATTAACCTAACAAAAATAATAAACAGATAATATTATAAATAATAAACATACAATAATAGCTTTCTTCATCATATTTTATCTGGGATTTCCATTAATTGTTTAATGCTTACTGAGTAACATTGCATAAGAAATGTGTATTTTGTTGGACTCATATTTCTAGAGAAATATTAAAGAAAATATTTTAATGATTCTTTTAAAATATTTTTCTAATGTGCATTCATTAAGTTAACAAATCCTTGATATGTAAGAGACACAATCAAATTAAACAACAGAATCACACTACCTAAAATTTTCAGCATCATAACTTCTGAAAACAAGTAATCATTATTGAGTACTGCTAAACATTGTTATAAGTACATTACATAGATTGACTTGGTAGGTACTATGTATTATCCCCATTTTACAGATGAAGACAGTAAAGCACAGAAAAGTTAAGTAACTTGCCTAAGATCATCTAATCTAATAAAAGAGAAACATGCAAATTAACCGCACCCCTGCTACGCCCAAGCCACACCCACCAGCCAATCAGAGTGACTATATGCAAATTAACCCAGCCAAGATGGCGGCCGGCAGCCATGGAGCTGGAGCAAGCAGGAGGCTTGGTTGCCCCGGCGATGGAGGAAGCCAAGCTTCCCACCTGCCCTGGCCAGCTGTGGCCTCCGCTCAAGGCAATAAAGTTTCAATTATAGAAGACAAATAAATCCCAGATACCTGCTTCCAGCCAGCCTACACTGGGAGCTTCGGTGGCTGGGGGCTGTGGCCAGCCTGCAAACAGCCATCAGCCCCTCACCCAGGCTGGCCAGGCACCCCAGCGGGGACCCCTACACTGAAGGGGCTGTGGCCATCCTGCAAACAGCCATCAGCCCCTCACCCAGGCTGGCCAGGCACCCCAGAGGGGACCCCCACCCTGAAGGGGCTGTGGCCAGCCTGCAAACAGCCATCAGCCACTCACCCATGCTGGCCAGGCACCCTAGTGGGGACCCCCACCCTGAAGGGGGTGTGGCCAGTCTGAAAACGGCTCTAAGCCCGTCACCCAGGCTGACCAGGCACCCCAGTGGGACCCCAACCCTGATCCGGGACACCCTTCAGGGCAAACCAGCCGGCCCCCACCCATGCACCAGGCCTCTATCCTATATAATAAAAGGGTAATATGCAAATTGACCCTAACAACAGAAAGACTGGGAATGACTGGTCACTATGACACACACTGACCACCAGGGCACAGATGCTCGATGCAGGAGCTTCCCTATGGTGGTCAGTGTGCTCCCACAGAGGGAGCTCTGCTCAGCCACAAGCCAGGCTGACGGCTGCCAGTACAGCGGTGGTGGTGGGAGCCTCTCCCCCCTCCTCAGCACGCTAAGGATGTCCGACTGCAGCTTAGGCCTGCTCCCCGCTGGCAAGTGGACATCCCCCGAGGGCTCCCGGGCTACCAGAGTATGTCTGACTACCAGCTTAGGCCCAATCCCCCAGGGAGAGGGCCTAAGCCAGCAGGTGGACATCCCCCAAGGGGTCCCAGACTGTGAGAGGGCACAAGCCAGACTGAGGGACCCCCCTCCGAGTGCACAAATTTTTGTGCACTGGGCCTCTAGTAAAACTAATAAGTAGCAATGCTAGGATTTGAATCTAGGCAGGCTGGTTCCTAAGTCTGAATTCTTCAGACTCTAAAAGGGGAAAGAGGCATTAATCATAAGTGAGAATGGAACTGGGATAAGAAAATATATACAGACTTCAACTCATGCCGTTCTGGTTCCATTTGATTAAAAATTACCTGAGGGTGACACTGAAAATGGAAGACTAAGGACTTCAGAAAATTCTCTCCTCCATTAAGGAAGGAAGGAAGGAAGGAAGGAAGGAAGGAAGGAAGGAGGGAGGGAGGGAGGAAGGAGGGAGGGAGGGAGAGAGGAAGGAAGGAAGAAAAATAAAGACTGGCAAAAATTGTCAGCACCAATTTTTTTCAGAACTCTGAAAACTACAATGAAAGGATTACAAAAACAAGGAGTGTTAATTCAAGAAAAACAGGTGAGCCCGGCATGTGTGGCTGTGGTTGAGCATCAACCCATAAACCAGGAGGTCCCGGTTCAATTCCTGGTCAGGGCACATGCCCAGGTTGTGGGCTTGATCCCCAGTAGGTGATGGGGTGCAGGAGGCAGCCAATCAATGGTTCTCTCTGATCATCAATGTTTCTATTTCTTTCTTCCTCTCTTTTCCTCTCTGAAATCAATAAAAAACATTTTTTTAAAAAGTCTTGGATATTGGGAAAAAAAGAAAAACAGTTGAATATATGTGTTCTGGTCCCATCTCCAGCTCTCAGCTACATGATAACCTTCAAAAATAACAACCTGCTGGGATTCTTGGTGCAGCCTAACAATAACCAGAATGCACAATGGAGCAGAATCTTTCAAGATTTATTCCCAAAGAACTGTCATTATTTGACCTGTATTATGGTTCTCTAGAAGACCCCCACTTGCAGAGATTTTTTTTTTAATTGACCTCTGAGCTAACACAGTATAAAACCCTTCTCCCTTGGGTGGGTGTTTGTCCAAAAACAATTATACAGACAGTTGGGACAGAGAAAAAGCTGGGGAATGAAAAGATGTCCAAAGGGGCTTTGAAAAGCTCCAACATATTTCTGGGGATTTAGAAGGCCATATGCACACCTACGAAGTATGCATGCTCAAGACTGTGCATGTGTTCAGGAAAGACCTGAGAAGGTCCTAAGCTCTCACTTCTGGCTGAACTTGAAGGTCTGAACAAGCAGGAAGTAAAGGCTAAGGCAGAGTTGATCATTGCTTGGCTGTGTGTTGAAGGAGTGCCCCAAATGCACACAGATCCTCTCAGTAAAGACTGGGAGATTTACTATTTGCAATACAATCATTAGCTGCCACTGAACTAACCAAGTACAGACATCAGTGGCCACACACAACAAATAATAGATTTTACAGGATTAATTCAGAAGTCATTAAACAAAAACAACAATTACCAAATCAGCAACAAATAATTATGGAGAGGGGAGAAATCTGATTTCTAGAGTTACCAAATTATTTAAAACTAGAGGCCCGGTGCACAAAAATTTGTGCACTCGGGGGTGGGGAGGAGGTGGGGTCCCCCAGCCCGGCCTGTGCCCTCTCGCAGTCTGGGACCCCTCGGGAGATAACAACCTGCTGGCTTAGGCCTGCTCCCGGGTGGCAGAGGGCACGCCCAATCCCTAGGTGCAGCCCCTGGTCAGGCTCAGAGCAGGGCCGATTGGGGAGTTGGGGCGCCGCCCCCTGTCATGCACAGAGCAGGGGGGATCGGGAGGTTGCGATGCCACCCTCAGTCACGCTCAGGGTAGGGCCGATTGGGGGGTTGGGGCACCACCCCCTGTCACACTCAAGGCAGGATCGATAGGGAGGTTGCAGCGCCACCCCGTCACCCACAGAGCAGGGCCGATCAGGGGGTTGGGGCACTGCCCCCTGTCATTCACAGAGCAGAGCCCATCAGGGGGGTTGGGGCACCGCCCCCTGTCACACACAGAGCAGGGCGGATCAGGGGGTTGGGGCGCTGCACCCTGTCACACTCAGGGCAGGGCCAATGGGGAGGTTATGGCTCTACCCTGTCACACACAGAGCAAGGCCCGTGGAGGGGGTTGGGGCGCCACCCTCTATCACCCACAGAGCAGGGCCGATCAGGGGGTTGGGGCGCCGCCACTGTCACACTCGGGGCAGGGCCGATGGAGAGGTTATGGCTCTACCCTGTCACACACAGAGCAGGGCCCGTGGGGGGGGGGGGGGTGCCGCACCCTGTCACACACAGAGCCGCAGGGCAATCAGGGGATTGGGGAGCTCCCCCCTATCAGGCACAGAGCAGGGCTGATCAGGGGGTTGGGGCGCCTTCCCCTGTCACGAACAGAGCAGGGCAGATAGGGAGGTTGTGGCCCCGCCCCCTGTCACACACAGAGCCGCAGGGCGATCAGGGGGTTTGGGCGCTGCCCCCTCACGCTGATCCTGGTGCCGGGAGGCATATTACCCTTTTACTATATAGAATAGAGGCCTGGTGCATGGGTGGGGGCTGGCTGGTTTGCCCTGAAGGGTGTCCTGGATCAGGTTGGGGGTCCTCACTGGGGTGCCTGGCCAGTCTGGGTGAGGGGCTGAGGGCTGTTTTCAGGCTGGCTGGTGACTGAAGCTCCCAACTGCTCCTTTTTTTTTCTTTTTTCTATTCTGGGCCAGCTTTAGCTCTGAGGCCTCGCTGCTGAAAACAGGTTTCTGGCCTTTACCTTCTGTATTTGATACAATGTTGCGGTCCGGCTGGCTGAAGCCCGGCTGACTGAAAGCCGGTTTCTGGGGTTTTGTTTAGCTTCTATATTTGCAACATAGTTGCTTAGAGTTGCAGCTGAGAGGCTGGCAAGTCAGGCGGGGAACGTTGGAGTCTGCCATCACTGGAGCAAGCAAGCCTCCTTGTTTGCTTCAGTGCATGGCTGCCGGCCGCCATCTTGGCTGACAGTTAATTTGCATAAGAATATGCTGATTAGCCAATGGGAAGGGTAGCGGTCGTACGCTAATTACCATGTTTCTCTTTTATTAGTGTAGACTAGAGGCCCGGTGCACAAAAATTTGTGCACTGGAAGGGGGTCCCTCAGCCTGGCCTGCCCCCTCTCACAATCTAGGAGCCCTCAGGGGGCTCCATTGTGCATTCTGGTTATTGTTAGGCTGCACCAAGAATCCCAGCAGGGATGTCCTACTGCAGCTTGGCCTCCCTCTGCGGGAGGCGACCGGCCCAATCAAGGGAAGGCACCGCCCCCATCACCCCACCGCTGCTGCTGCCTCTGGCCTCCCTCTGCAAGAGGCAACTGGGCCAATCAGGGGAAGAAGCCGCTGCCATCACCCCGCTGTGGCTGCCACTGCCGGCCGCTGCAGCCGCCTGCCCTTGCCCTCGATGCCACCACAGCTGCCACCTGCCCTCGGCCCTCACAGCTGCTACAGCTGCCGCCTGATCTCGGCCCTCACAGCCGCTGCGGCTTTGTCCGGAAG